GTTACAACAGGGTCGATTAACAACTAAGGTATTCCGTAAGAACTCTTATGTTCCACTTTTTATACATGCCAAATTACATGATCCTTTTGGTTACAAGGTCTCTGCTTTTAAGACCCTAATAAGAAGGGCTTTCACTCATTGTTCAAGAGCAGAGGATAGAAAAATGGAGCTGGAATCTATTTCAAGTGTATCTAGGCTGCATGGTTACCCTAAGTGCCTAATTAATGAGCTAATAGCATGCCACGAAAAACCTACAGATGCGGTATTTCTGGGAAACCCGTCCTTTGTTCCTATTACTTACAACAGGATCCTTCACAACACCTACAAACAAATAGCCCATTATATGAGTAAAAGGATTGCTTACACGAGATCGCTGACCATTTTCTCTTGTTTAAGAAACAACAAGGACCGATTTTAGCAGAATTCTATCCCTATTTATGATCACAGGGTGAATCGTCTGGGCAAATATATTGGTGCTACTGCACGCTGCCTTAAAACAAGGATCAAGGAACACAAATACTCAATTCAAAAATGCCTTTCCACTATGGCATTGGCTTCTTTCGCCCTAGATGATGATGTCAGGGTGGACTTTGATAATGCACGATTAATACAACGGTGTGGCACCAGGCCAGCCTGAAATATCTCAAACAGCTAGAAATATTTAAAGTGTTCAAGAAGGAAACAGCCATCAATTTCAAGGAGATGGACTCGTTGGCGATTGCGTGGAGGGTGTATTTTGACATATAATAGATATACATCATGTGTGCCTACATATTTATATAAACATCAAAATTTTTAAAACAGGAAACCAGTTACAGAGCCTTTAACAAAATTAGTCCTTAATTTTGTTAAAGGCTCTACATTGGGCATGCGCATAACTTCAAGATTCAGTTTTTTCGAACTCTTGGAATCGAACCTGATGATGACCGTTGAAAATGGTAGAAAATGTTTATTTGGAAGTGAATTATTGCTGGTTTTTTTGGTAATTACGTATTTATTTTATTTTATCAATAATTTTGATAGTTAATAGGTTTTTTTAGACTAACAATCAATTCTTTAAGTGTGGAACCATGAAGCAGTTCCTCATTTACACTGTTATCTAAAAGATCCTGGGCTACCTTAACATAACCTTGATAATTCATGACGATACTCTGTCTAGATTTGTCAGACCATAAGATAACCAAATTATAATTCTTAATACATTTTTTTAAAACATTAATATTATTATGATGTATCCATAAGGATATTTTATGGTTTTTACTAAAATTATGATTTTTAATGATATTTTGGACTTTGTTTTAATTTCAGTATGGTTGACAATGTTTAAACTGTTAAGAATATATTTTAACTCATGCATGACGTGTATACGCACCGGTTACAGGTTCAAGATAGTGTAGTATAGATTCCACCTGGTGCTGAGGTTAGAGTAGTTTCTGTATTTTAATTCAATGGCAATTTTGCTTTTAGGTAAATATGTTTGGAAATTATATTCTAAACCTTTAGCTATTAAATCTTTAATTCTATCAGAAATTTGTACATCAGACAGATTAATAACCAATTTGTTTTACCAATTATTTATTAGATCCATTGTTGGGATACCACAATGTTTAACTAGTTTATTATACTTCTTAGTGAAATGGCTGTTTTGGTTAAACAGGAGTGTAGGGGTAAAAATATTAGTATTTTGGCTGTTCTTTTTAAGTTTTTTCTCTAGCTTTTTAATTTTGGTCTGATAAGCCCTCACTATTATCTGCCTCATGGTTGTATTAATATAATCATACCAAGGACTAGAAGCAAACTTTTGTAATAATTTTATTGCAATAATATTATTTGTCATTCTAAATATAAGAATCTTAGCAAGAATAAAGGATTACAAGGGTTACAATATGAAAACAAGTAATTGAAAGTTATGAATACATCAAATGTAAACTTAAAATATTCAGTAAATTATAAAATTAAATTGAATTTTACATAAATTATATTTTTAATTTTAACTAGCGCAATGGATATTTTCAATTATTTATGAACTTTCAAAGAAGAAGAGAACAGTTCCTTCTCTTACTATGGACTCAGAAACCTTTCCAACTTCAACTACTGAAGACCATGAGTAAGTGAATTGTTAATTGGTGGTTTTAAAATTGTTTTTCTTATATTATATAATATTTTATATAATTTTATTCATATTTTTATGATAAATATATTATAATATCATATCAGCATGATCAGAGTAGTATAGAAATTTTAACGGTTTATATTTAGTGTTTTAGTAAGTTGACTGTAAAATACAACAATGTTTTATTCATTTATGAAGATCAGAGATAATTTCATAATCAAACAATATAAATTAAAAAAAAACAAGGATTTAATGATTAACTTTTACCAAATAAATGTAAGTAATAATGTAATGTTAGTTAATGTTATAACCATCGACAGTTATTACAACACCGGCTGGGGACACATCCAGTGCCGACATCCTATAAGACACTCACCCGGCCATCGCAAGCCCCGGCTAGGCGTAATATATACAAACAACATCGCTAGACCCGATACATAATATAGCTAGACACCAACCAAATGCCGAAATTTTATTGGGCTAGTTTAAAGCTAATTACTAAATTAATTACGTAACCAATTTGGCTCTAGAGGTAAGCGTTAGGTGCCATCTCATATTAACATTAATAATTATTAATTAATTAATTAATTAAAATAATTTAGAACTGCTGGGAGAGAAAAAAAAGTCTAGCGATGTCATTTGTATATATTATGCCTTGCCGGGACTTGCGATGGTCAGTTGAGTGCCTTATAGGACATGGGCACTGGATGTGTCCCCAGCCGGTGTTGTAATAACTATCGATGGTTATAACATTAGCTTATATATGCTGGAAGAGGAGATCAGACTGGAAGTCTAAATAGTGTAACTGGCAATGCATCTGCACGGTAAGCAGGAGTTGTGGGTTTGAGTCCCGCTCCGGGCCGATTTTTTTCCCCAGTGATTCTAAATTATTTAAATTAATTAATTAATTTATATTTATTTATGTTAATACGAGATGGCGCCTAACGCTTACCTCTAGAGCCAAATTAGTTATGTAATTCATTTAGTAATTAGCCTTAAACTAGTCTGATAGAATTTCGGCATTTGGTTGGTGTCTAGCTATATTATGTATCGGGTCTAGCAATGTTGTTTGTATGTAATGTTAGTTGCTGATTTTAATAATTTTTGAGTAAAAATGAGTTTGTCTGATAGTCATTTTCTTGGTGTTCATAACTACAGTAGAGCGTCGTTTATTCAAATCAATTGGGGACTGGGTTGTTCGGATAACCAATTATGTACAAAAAAATATATTAACCTATCCCATGTTGAAATTTTTTTCCGTTGCATGTTGCTTCGCGTTGAATTTTTGTCGATGTTAAGCCTAACGAAAATTTATATAATAATAATCGTTGCTATTGTATCGTTAAAAATTATTTTTTAATTTTGTGCAAACAAAATAAATATATTGAAAAATATAAAAACAAAAAAATTATACTTTAGAAGTTAATCTAGTATCAAAAATGTTCAATTTAGCATGACACATGTCCCAATACAAACCTCAGAAAAAACACCACACAAAAGTGCCAGTGCTGCCAGCTAAAACACACACACCAACAAAAAAATATTGGAGTAGCCCAAGATATAGCCAAAGATTGCAGCGCCACAGCACTAGTGAAAATTTAAATTTGCCAACTGGAACGCTTTTGGTTAACTGATGTTTCGGTTGACCGGCTTTGGGATAAACGATGCATCTACTGTATTGTTAAATGCATGCATTTGAGTAAGGCTGTTTATACATTCCTCAACAATAAAGTTACAACTTTGTGAAAGAAAAGATAGAGTTATGAAACTCACAGGAAAGATAGAAAGATATGAAAATTATCAACAAATAAATACAAGATGTTAGGCAGGATCATTTATTTAATGAATATGCATACCAAACACAGCAATATACTTTCTTATATACTATGACATACTGTAAACAAAGTTGCCTGGAGTATACATTGCCATGTAATACAAGCATGCAAAATATTCAGATCAGATGTAGGGACTTTCGGGTAATGTTATCAAATATGTACTCAATTGATAAGTTTTGATGAGGTTGTGGGCAATGATAATATGTTTGTCATGCAGGCTATTTCTTGAAAGTAGATTCACATGTTGATGAGCATTGTGGCGGCCGCATAATTGTAACTAGCGCTACACCTGAAAATCCAGGTGGCGCTGGCGCGACGCATATATAACCATGTGCAGGCCGTCTGCCATACTTCCTTCCCGACTTGTCAGCTACCACCATGTACACGTGGATTCCAATCAACCGACCGTTAGGTAGACGAGACTTTTGTATATAGTGTAAATAAAATAAATAGGAGATATATGACTACGGTCTCTATTCATATATTCAGCGAACACGATCAAGTGGTATGACGACCACCACATTGGTGACCCAAACGTGATTTCTCGTTCCGAAGCTAATCCAACTACATCGGCTGCTTTTCATCGAAGTCCGGAAGACTAACAGTGCCAGAGACATTCATCAACATTCAGGACAAGCAAGTAATAATTATTTTTATTTTTACGGTTTTTCACACGTGCTGGAGGACAAATGTCGAACGACGACAACGGAAGCATGGCAACCTACGTGCCAGAAATCGCCCGGGTGGCGGTACGAGCCCCACCGTTCTGGAAGGCTAACCCGACCCTTTGGTTCGCACAAATAGAAGCCCAGTTCGCAAACGCCAATATAACAGCCGACGAAACAAAATTCAACCATGTTATTGCGGCCATGGAGAGCGAAATCCTCGCCCAAGTGAGCGACATAGTCGTCCAACCTCCGAACAAAGAGAAATACCTCACGCTCAAACGCTGATTAATTGACCAGTTTGCGGATTCTGAACAACAGAGGCTACGATTATTGCTTCAAGGCATTGAGCTAGGGGATCAACGCCCGTCTCAATTACTACGGAAGATGCGAGAGTTAGCCACAAATAGAATTTCAGACGACGTGCTAAAGACACTTTGGCTCCAGCGCTTGCCAACAGCCGCTCAACAAATACTAGCGGTAAGTGGCGAAGATCTAACAAAAGTTGCCGAATTGGCCGATAAAATTTGCGAAGTCACCGCACCAATGGGCCAGATTCAGGCCGTGTCACCGCCGCCGGCCGAGAACCACGTGGACGCGATCGCCCAGTTGAAGGAACAGATATCACAATTGTCCCTCCAGATCCAACAAATCACGGAGTCAAAACCCTACCGACGTAGCAGGCATCGCAGCCGCCGTTTTTCGTCTCCCCATCGAAACAGAAGCACATCAGAGGGAAGGCAAGTCTGCTGGTACCACCGGAAGTTCGGAGACAAAGCAAACAAGTGCACGTCCCCCTGCCAATTCCAGTCGGGAAACTGATCGGGCCGTCGCTCGACGACACGGGCGACAGCCAGTCTAGGGGACATAGGCTCTTCTTGCATGACAAGGCCACGTCGACGCGTTTTCTGATAGATACAGGAGCGGACATTTCTGTAGTCCCCCCAACTCCGGCCGAAGCAAGAAGAGAGCCAGACAGACTGCAACTCTTTGCAGCAAACGGCTCAAAGATCAAAACGTACGGACGGAGACTATTATCATTGGAATTGGGTCTGCGCCGGTCGTTTCAATGGCCGTTCGTAATAGCTGCAGTATCCAACCCAATAATTGGAGCGGATTTCTTAAGGAACTTTGGCCTTATTGTCGATATTCGACACAAAAGGCTTATAGATAACCAAACTAAACTTGCGAGCGCTGGAAAAGCCGTGACGGTGGCAACACCGACACTATCGCTCGTCGGAGACAACTCCTCCTTCCATCGTCTGCTCGCAGAGTTTCCTGAGCTGGTCACACCATCTACACCAGCCGAACCGCCCAAACATAGTGTAGTCCACTTCATTCAAACCCGGGGACCGCCAGTCGCAGGAAAGCCTCGCAGACTTCCGCCCGAAAAGCTCAACGCAGCAAGGAAGGAGTTCGAATATATGATGGCCCAAGGGATTTGCCGACCATCCAGCAGCCAGTGGGCTAGCCCGTTGCACCTAGTGCGAAAAAGCAACGGTGACTGGAGGCCCTGTGGTGACTATAGGAGGTTAAATGCAGTAACAGTTCCCGACCGCTACCCCATACCCCATATACAAGACTGTGTGCAGCTGTTACGCGGCAAGTCCATTTTCTCGACGCTCGACCTAGCGAGGGCTTACCACTAAATCCCAGTGAACCCGGAAGATGTCCCCAAAACGGCAGTGACCACCCCTTTCGGGTTGTTCGAGTTCCTATACATGAGCTTCGGCTTATGCAACGCTGCACAGACGTTCCAACGGTTTATTCACCAAGTCCTACGCGGGCTGGACTTTTGTGTGCCCTACTTCGACGACGTATTAGTGGCGTCGACCAGCGAAGCGGAACATTGGGAGCATCTCAAGACCGTCTTGGAACGCTTCAAAGAATACGGAGTACGGATCAACCCATCCAAATGCATCCTTGGTCAGTCTGAGGTAAGATTTTTAGGCTATCGCGTAACTCCCGCAGGCGTCGGTCCCTTGCAAGATAGGGTTGCAGCAATAGGCCAGATACCCCAACCAAAAACAGTACGTGAATTGCATAGGTTCCTGGCAATGCTGAATTTTTACTGGCGTTTCATTCCCCATGCGGCAGAATCCCAGGCGCCCCTCTGCGAATTCCTAAAGGGGGCAGCAAAGAATGATAACCGTGCAATTAATTGGGACGAAGACTCAAAAAAAGCATTCCAAGAGTGCAAAGATAAATTAGCGCGAGCAGCAACACTAGTATATCCCGATTCCATGGCGCCGACAGCACTGATTGTTGACGCTTCTGACATCGCCGTAGGGGCGGTCTTGCAGCAAAAGCAGGACGAGTGGAAGCCTCTAGCCTTTTTTTCCTGCAAGCTAGAACCAGCGGAGCGCAAGTATAGTGCATACGATAGGGAACTACTTGCGGCTTATATGGCAGTCCGGCACTTTAGGCATATGCTAGAGGGCCGTGCATTTACAATACACACGGACCACAAATCCTTGACCTATGCCTTTCTGCAGAAATCAGACAAGTGCTCACCCCGGCAGGTTAGGCAACTAGATTTTATCGCCCAGTTTACAACAGATATTCGACATATCAAGGGCAAAGAAAATATTGTAGCCGACACGCTGTCGCGTGTAGAAACAATCACAAATCTGCCGATTAACTATCTGGAAATGGCTAGAGCCCAGGAGACAGACGACCAGCTGCAGGCGCTACTTAACAACCCCAACTCGACCGGGTTAGTGCTGAAGCTGCTGCCGATAGATGATTCGGCAGCCCAGCTGTATTGCGACGTGTCAGGAAACAAGGTCAGGCCGTTTGTTCCCAAGGAGTTTAGACGACAGGTCTTCGACTCTGTTCATGGTCTGGCACATCCTAGTATCCACGCAACAGTGAAATTAGTAAGCGAGCGATACTGCTGGAAGTCCATGAGATCAGATGTAACCAAGNCCCGAAAACCTCAACGCAGCAAGGAAGGAGTTCGAATATATGATGGCCCAAGGGATTTGCCGACCATCCAGCAGCCAGTGGGCTAGCCCGTTGCACCTAGTGCGAAAAAGCAACGGCGACTGGAGGCCCTGTGGCGACTATAGGAGGTTAAACGCAATAACAGTTCCCGACCGCTACCCCATACCCCACATACAAGACTGTGTGCAGCTGTTACGCGGCAAGTCCGTTTTCTCGACGCTCGATCTAGCGAGGGCGTACCACCAAATCCCAGTGAACCCGGAAGACGTCCCCAAAATGGCAGTGACCACCCCTTTCGGGTTGTTCGAGTTCCTATACATGGGCTTCGGCTTATGCAACGCTGCACAGACGTTCCAACGGTTTATTCACCAAGTCTTACGCGGGCTGGACTTTTGTGTGCCCTACTTCGACGACGTATTAGTGGCGTCGACCAGCGAAGCGGAACATTGGGAGCATCTCAAGACCGTCTTGGAACGCTTCAAAGAATACGGAGTACGGATCAACCCGTCCAAATGCATCCTTGGTCAATCTGAGGTAAGATTTTTAGGTTATCGCGTAACTCCCGCAGGCATCGGTCCCTTGCAAGATAGGGTTGCAGCAATAGGCCAGATACCCCAACCAAAAACAGTACGTGAATTGCGTAGGTTCCTGGCAATGCTGAATTTTTACCGGCGTTTTATTCCCCATGCGGCAAAATCCCAGGCGCCCCTCTGCGAATTCCTAAAAGGGACAGCAAAGAACGATAACCGTGCAATTAATTGGGACGAGGACTCAAAAAAAGCATTCCAAGAGTGCAAAGATAAATTAGCGCGAGCAGCAACGCTAGTATATCCCGATTCCACGGCGCCGACAGCACTGATTGTTGACGCTTCTGACATCGCCGTAGGGGCGGTCTTGCAGCAAAAGCAGGACGAGTGGAAGCCTCTAGCCTTTTTTTCCCGCAAGCTAACACCAGCGGAGCGTAAGTATAGTGCGTACGATAGGGAACTACTCGCGGCTTATATGGCAGTCCGGCACTTTAGGCACATGCTAGAGGGCCGTGCATTTACAATACACATGGACCACAAACCCTTGACCTATGCCTTTCTGCAGAAATCGGACAAGTGTTCACCCCGGCAGGTTAGGCAACTAGATTTTATCGCCCAGTTTACAACAGATATTCGACATATCAAGGGCAAAGAAAATATTGTAGCCGACACGCTGTCGCGTGTAGAAGCAATCACAAATCTGCTGATTAACTATCTGGAAATGGCTAGAGCCCAGGAGACAGACGACCAGCTGCAGGCGCTACTTAACAACCCCAACTCGACCGGGTTAGTGCTGAAGCTGCTGCTAATAGATGATTCGGCAGCCCAGCTGTATTGCGACATGTCAGGAAACAAGGTCAGGCCGTTTGTTCCCAAGGAGTTTAGACGACAGGTCTTCGACTCTGTTCATGGTCTGGCACATCCTAGTATCCGCGCAACAGCGAAATTAGTAAGCGAGCGATACTGCTGGAAGTCCATGAGATCAGATGTAACCAAGTGGACGCGCGCTTGCCTCCAGTGCCAACGCTCCAAGGTGCACAGGCATACTCGCTCAAAACCAGGCACCTTTCTCATTCCCAGTTCCCGTTTCGAGCACGTGCATATAGATATAGTGGGTCCGCTTCCCCCGTCGCAAGGCTTTAGATACATCGTTACATGTATCGATAGGTACTCCAGGTGGCCGGAGTGCATTCCGGTCGCCGATATCTCGGCGGAATCGATTGCAAAAGTTTTTTACGCAAATTGGATATGCCGCTTTGGCGTTCCGCTCAGATTGACCTCGGACCAAGGACGTCAATTTGAGTCCGACCTTTTCCACGCTTTATCGACAACCCTGGGCATCAAACAGATCCGCACAACCCCATACCATCCAGCAGCGAATGGAATGGTGATGGAATGGTGGAACGGCTCCATCGCACACTTAAGGCAACCCTACGTTGCCATGGAGGAGACAATCGGGCAAATGTACTCCCAACGGTCCTCCTTGGCCTTCGAACAGCATTCAAAGAAGACATACAGGCCGCCACTGCCGAAATGGTTTACGGTGAAAACCTTAGGTTGCCGGGCGAATTTTTTACTCCAAGCAGGTACAACCCCGACCCAGCAAACTTCGTCGGGCGTCTTAAAAGCACCATGGAAAAGTTACGCCCAACACCCACCAGGCAACCAAACAGGACAACTTGTTTCGTACACGAAGAACTGAACTCGTGCCAACAGGTATTTGTGCGTGACGACACGGTAAGGAACTCGTTACAACCAGTCTATTTGGGTCCTTTTCGTGTTATATCAAGAGATGACAAGGTTTTCACCATCGAACAGGGCAGCCGAAAGATAGCTATAAACATAGACCGGTTAAAACCGGCATTCATCGAGGCAAACACAGATACGAAGGCCGGGGGGCCGCACCTAACTTCCGAACAGCCGAAGACAGCCGCTAAGACGACAACAGGAGCGACGACGCCGGACGACAGACGAACGCCGGTCGCAACCAGATCCGGTCGACGGGTCCGATTCAACCCGCGATATTTACGACGGGTTAACTGTAACGATATTTGTAAATATATAACGGTAAACTTCTCGTTGTCACTGGTGGGGGAGTGTGTGGCGGCCGCATAATTGTAACTAGCGCTACACCTGAAAATCCAGGTGGCGCTGGCGCGACGCATATATAACCATGTGCAGGCCGTCCGCCACACTACTTCCCGACTTATCAGCTACTCTTGGGTTGCTCACATGTACACGTGGATTCCAATCAACCGACCGTTAGGTAGACGAGACTTCTTTGTATATAGCGTGAATAAAGTAAATAGGAGATATATGACTACGATCTCTATTCATATATTCAGCGAACACAATCAAGTGGTGTAACGACCACCACATAGTGTATATTTCTGAATTAGAAACAAGTTTCAGTATAGTGCATATTAAATTAATACAGCTAAGTTTAGTGTGAGTACATAAAATTTTGCTGCTTGTTTGTTGTTGTTTCTAGTCTTTGTCTCATCTGTCTAGAATATTTTGGGTCTTCCTCCCACCATTATGCTCCATCTCTTGTTATATATTAGGTTATGTTGAAATACAAGAAAATTCAAGTTATTTTTTGATAAAATATCAAAGATATTCTGATTGATAACATAGAAAGTTTAAAATCTACTCATGAAATGGCATAATCATGTTTCTATTATATTTTATTGCCAATATGTTTATAATAATGTAAAGTTAGTGATTTTGAGAAATGTAATAGGCTAAGTGAAGAGGATAATTTAATTATCACACACAAGTATCCCTCGTACAACACGGCACTTCTATGACACGGTTTTACTGAAACACAGTTTGAAAATTGGGGAAATCCTCTGTACAAAATTTCACAATTTTTAAGTACAAACTCTGTTGTTCAATGTTTTTTTTTTATTCAAGTAAGCATGTACATTGTCTCAAATTTACGCTTGGATTTTAGAATATTGAAATTTTTCATTTCTTTTGTGCCTTTTGTCAGGTTTACTTCAATGAAAACTGATAGTACAGTTTTTGTTTTTCTTGTCCTAGCCTTTCCATCAACCAGCTATCGTTGCTTTCAGACTAATCTTTAAGACTGTCATTTTGAACCTAACCTTTTGTTTAGTATAGCACAGATTTGCATAACACAACACTTTTTCAGAGCGTAACTACCATGTTATATGAGGGATAACTGTAATTTAAAAAATATCTATTTAAATAACACTTCCCAATTTGACATTGAGGACTGTGGGTCACAAATACTTTGATTTGTTAAGCCTGGTACTCGCATGTGGCAACGAACAATAGAAACAGTTGCTATTCCGTCATCTTTTTGTGTCGCATGTGCTCACATCCTGAAATTACCCTACAATTGATACGTGCCATCTGCCAGCTGTAAATATAAATAAGTTACTACAGTAGGTAGGCCAAGTGCTAGTAGTCGAAAATGGCATCTACCAGGATTGCTTTGTTATATCAGTTAAACTTTTTAAGTTTTCCTTTGATCTTATCGCAAATAAAAAATCTCAAAAACGAATAATTTGGATAGGAAAAATATGCTAACTCATCGTAAGTTAGGAATATCAAATACTTTTGTCATTGAATTATTCCATTCCCAATACTTTATGCAGTAAGTACATCTATTTGACATTAATATTTAAATTGGATAGTATTGATAATATAGCATATAAATGAAATATATTAGTGTACAGTGTACAAATAAAGCTTTTTAGCTTGCCAATCGCCATAGTTTGAATGCTATTGTCCCACGTGATCTTTATGATGACATTACTAAATGGCCTTCCTATTGCTCTAATTTTTGCTGTTCTGCTTTCCATGATGGCAAAAGCTGAAAATTTTCAACTTTGTATTCTGTCGGCTTCGACGGCAAAAGTGATGTCATTTTGCTGTTCCGTCGACGGTTTCCATCGTTTGTTGCTGCATGTGAGTACCAGGCTTTAATGTTGAGTGTAATTCTTTTATATTTCCTTTGGAGAAGGGTAATTTTCATTTACTAGATATATAAATAATACTTATTTTGGAGGATAAGAATGATTATGTATATGCTACTAAAGCTGTAGTGAAAAATTGAGTTCTCTTTATATCAAAGCTGATACTAAACACCATGGACATCTGCAGAAGATGCAAATGGGGCACTTGTCCTCTATTGGGATCAGATAAAAAAATTTAACAAATTATACAAATATAAACATCCAGTAACCTGATTTTTTGATTAATAAATAATAGTATTATTATAGTCTGATATAATCTGGCACTCATTTGGCATTATTTCACGAATTATCATCATAAAAATGATTGAGATCTGTAATCTTTCATCCTTGTGATGCTTTGTTTTTTTGTATTGATGAAATACTGTATTCCAGTATTTCCCAAATGTTTTAGTTGGTTGAGAAACACTATTGTATTCTATCATCTACTTGGGGAAAAAACTCCAAAAATATTTAATAAACTAGCTGTTACCCGCGACTTCGTCAGCGGAGGTTTTGCAAGCAAACCCCATTTACATCCAATATTTCAATAACCATAGTAATTGTTATATAACACCTACCGCTGAAGAGAATTGCCGAAAATCAAACGAACTATTTTCAATTTGATCAATTTTCTGAAACGTTTACAATCGTTCTATAATCGAACCAATACGCAATAACAAATTCGAATTTAAAAC